TCACAACAGCCCTGTCAGGTGGAGACTCCATCTTGTATACAATTTACCATCAGACTAAAAACACAGGCAGATAGATGTCATGGCTAAAGTTACAGGATGTTCATACTGATTTCTCAGGTTATTTTGTCTATTCAGGCCCGATCTCCTCACCCCAACAACATGTTGACATACCCGTCTGCGGTGTGGAGTTTGGGACAAAACACCAAACGTTGGGGTGAAATGTTTTGGGACAATGGAGCTACCGAAGGACCAGGGGTCTTGAACTGTGATATCTGAACGGAAAGTAGCAAGATAGAAGTAAACATTCACATCAGTTGAACCCCAAACAAGCTCTTGACGCAAGAATTCCTGAACATACCTATAGTGAAGTGTTTCAACAGGTAGCAGATGACTCAGATTTCTTAGCTTTCAGAGTTCCCAGAGTTGTGGGTATAAACGTATTCAACAAGAAGTTTGATAAAAGGTTTGGTAAGCTATTCTTAAACACAGTCGTCATCGCTCCATTGTGGTATAAACTAACCCTGTACTGTTGTACTTACCACACATGTACGGCACCCAAAATGCGTGCCGGCTCCAAGATACTAAGTAAGGTCAGCCTTTACTATTGACACTTACAGGAAAGCTGTCCATTCCTAAGAAGTGAACTTTCCATCTACGTTATTTATGACTTCTCTCCCTTTTGCCACAGTTTGCCAGTGGTTCTAACATTACAAACTATATTTCTGCTGAACTTTTGTTAGTCCTGTGTCGCAGAAAGGCCATGGTGCTTGATGAACGGCCCCTCTCTGTACAAAATTAGCAGTACTTAAGACTAGTTCCCTGGCTTTAAGGATGGTGCAGAACAGATGCAGCGACTGGAGCACATCTTTCTTCTGTTCACCTAAAACCAATTTAATCCGCCCTGTTTAAGGGCCTATCCTGTGAAGGATGGACCATGACACTGTCTCTTTTTTCCCTTCAATCTGATTTCACGCTACAGAATGGGTGCTGGGGCAAGGGTATACAGGGGCTGCCCCTCACCCTGCACACTTCACAGGCCAGCCAGTAATTAAGGGTAACAAATTGCATGCTGATGACTGACACTGTATGATTTGTGTCTCTGTTGGCCAGCTGGGGATGTTGGACTTGACGTGATTGATACAACCTGGGCGTAAAGAACGATCATCAACTCTTAGGAACTATTCAACATGCAAAATCAAACTGGCACCAGCAATCCGACCATGAAGCATCTAGCACTTTCAGACATGTGTTAGTGCAAAGGTTTTCCGGTAATGATCATACAGTCTTATCTTCGGGGTATGCTTCCTAAAGCTATGGTTTTAGTCCTGTCGCGTTCCATCATCTTTTGTCTACAGGCATGACTAAATGCAGCTTCAGATGTGCCATGCTGCCCTTTCTTTTCTCTTTTTTTTAGGCTCTCCCTGGATTATAACATCCTGCACCTGCATGTCTACTGACAAAAACTGTCATCTTTTGTTTTCTGATATAGTGCCAGGGCAAGACAGAGAGACTTCCAACATAAAAGTCGTCTGTCATGGGGAGATATTGTTGTGTTGCAGAAGCAGACAGAAGGCTTCAGGACTTTCAACTTTCTCGTCAGCAGACAATTTTGTTCATACCAAGAGATATTTCAAATAGAAAAGAATGCAAATGCAATCTAGACACACTTAACAAAGAATACAGATACATTTGATGTATGCTTGGCTACAGATAGATGCATACATGTATCAAAGTGTTCTAAGGCACAATGTTTTTCTATGGTCTATTTTTTCAATAGAGGCAAGAAAAAGGGAAGGTGTGAAGATTGCATTCCTTCTCTATTTTTTTAATCTATCGGGCAAAAATTCTGTTTTCTCTCAACAAAGTTACATTTTGTTGACAAGATGTCTTGGAAAATAATAAGCACTTGTATAAGGTGCAACATGTCATAGTTGATAGCACTATTCTATTAAAAAAATCAAACTATATCATAGTTTGGTGCAGTCTTTGAATGATCTGATTTGCCTCACTTGAATGGCCTTCATTGATGCTACAAATCTCTACAGGGTTACCTGTTAGGTGTCACCTTTTTTAGAAACCTTTTCATGGAAGCATTGTCAGAATATAGTCAGTGCCTCAAACAAAATGCATTTGTAGATTACCTGTTCAAAGCTGAAACTTGATCATGCAAAAATATATGTTGAATAAAGTAAATAAAGGAAGTATTTATTATGTGTAAAATTTGTCTTACCTCCCAAGCGTACGTCATGTCTTTAACCTCTGTCTTCTGTAGTCCAGTGAATGGACCCATCTTCTCCCCAGCCTGCACGGCCACCTTCGTCCAGACCCCCAGCCCAACGCCCGCTGCCTTCGACTCCCGGAGCTCGAACTCCGGCGGGATGTGGATGTCGTCGGCGATGTAGACAGGTGCCTCGTACGCGCTGTCGCTCGGCTCCACCGCATGGTCAGCGGCCTCCGCGGGATGGCCATGGTCCTCCTCTACCGACTCGTCTTCAATCTCAAGTGCTTGTTCATGGTCGTAGATGTCTTCTAACTCGTCACCTGTGAGACAAGGAAGGGCAAAGATAAGCAAAAGAATGCCTGGTCTAACTAAAACTAGCAAGTGAAATTGTTCTATATTCTATGATATTTGTCTTCATTTTGTGCAAAGAGGAAAGCAGTATATGTTCTAACTCGTCACCTGTGAGACAGCGAAGGGCAAAGATAAGCGAAAGAATGCCCGGTCTAACCCAAACTAGCGAGTGAAATTTTTCTATATTCTGTGATATTTGCTTTCATTTTGTGTGAAGAGGACAGCAGTGTATGTTTTTATAAATAAATGGAAAAACAAGCATTGTTTTAACCTTTACCCATTCAATAAAATTTAACATTTCCGTGTCAGACTGAACCCCTCTTACTCTTGACCTTCTCCTTGCTGCCTAATCCTGTAACCAATACAAACTTGGTGCCAAATTTGGTGTACTTTAACAGGGAGAAGGTTGGAGCAAGTGTAAGATACCATTAGGCCTCAGGTGCAGCATCAAAACCTTTCTTGAATGCTCTTGTTCTCTTCTAGGAAAATGGGGTTAACAAATTCAATCAGAAAAATTATACCCGTCTGATTGAGACAAAAAGTGGCTGAGTAATATGATACATGACACAAACGACCACCCAAACCTTATTTATTATATAGTTGTGAAAAGTGTATCGTATCACCAAATAAGGGTTATAGCATGTGATTATGATATTTGTATTGCCCCTTACAGACCATTGTTTCATAAATCTTTTCCCAGTCTCCATCTAAATGCCCTCCATGCTATTTCCTCCTTGTTGTATGTAAAGTAGCTGACATTTCCTTGATCTTGCCACTGTTAGGTATAACAGGAGGTCCTTCACAGACACCACTGTCTCCAGCAAACCTTGGAATGTTGGTCGGAAAGGTAACTGTATCCTGACAGTATCAGTGATTGTATTAAATGCCAGCAGTAGTGTAAATACTTTTGTTTGAAAAGAGTTACATGGAAAGTTCACAGAAAGTTCATATTTGCACCACAAGGACACACCAATGCTTTGAAGCAGAACATCTGATCACTAACTTGGAGGTTCCAACGTCCTGAAAAACACATCACCTTTCCCAATACCCTCCCATAATCACAGGTGGATCAATGGAAGCTATAGGAAAACCCACTGCCGCACATCTCTAAAGTCTCCCTGAGCACAGGTGATCTCACCACACGTCACTGGTAATGTGTCTACCTAATCCCAGAGATACCAGCTCTTGCACTTACAAAGTACAACTCATACGCAGGTGGAGAAAAAGACAAGTACAACTGGGAACACCTACGTCGCTTCTGCAGCATCTGAACCCACATGTACATCTTCAGTGTTTAGAAGTGAAGTATTACTTCCTTCCAATACGGTGCAGCTTGCGTGCGCGGTGGACTCTTGCTGTAACTAACAAGCAGCGAGGCCGAGCATGTGGAATGAGTCGTGGTCAGGCTATCAGGAATGAGTGAGTGAGTTTGCAAATGAACAAGCCCGCTGGATCAGCTAGTGTACACGTTCAGACAAATTCCCGGCCACATAATTACACAAAGACTGATAAGTAAACGATATGAAGTAATTGTGAGTTTAATGACTCCCCACAGAGTAGGGATTAGATGGTAGCAGGGAAGCTATTTTACCTGCAGCCTGAAACACATCAGTATCTGGTGCTTACTGGGCTAGAAGCCTACCGATTTTTGTTCTAATGCGCCCTCAATTTTTGGTTGTACGGGCGATCCAGGTAATCTCAACTAAAGGCCATAATGGTGTCACATTGGGAGCCAGCTGGAGCCGTCTTCATGCAATAATACCATTCCTGGGCGGGCCAGCATTAATTACCACTCTAAACTCCCCCCATATCCCCTATCCCGAAAGAGCACACCCACGAAAAGGCTTTTCTAGAGGATGCACGTACGAGAGCCCCGGATTTTCTGAACGACGAGTGGTAATGCTAGAACTGCAGGCTACGCCGAGTGAGGGCTCTTCAGACAGATATGCCACTTTTCACAAAGAAGGCTCTTCTCGGCCAAGTGGCCTGGCTATAGAATTCACTGTCCCCTCAGCTTAGCAGCTGCTAGGGCTCAAAGGGACAGATCAGATGTATCTCTTTTCTTCTTAATCCCTAAGATAATGTTACCTCACTTAAAATCTTTGCAACAAGAGGATGACTTTCTTGAAACAATAGCATGCTTGCCTACCCTTGCGAAACAACTTCATCCCTTGTATGACCTGTAGATGCAAATGCCTTCAAAGCAAACACCAAGATCACATTAAGCCTTATCGGTTCATCTTTAATCTAGAAGATAATGTTTTCTTGCTATCAATACCCTGGAACAATGCTGTGTTATTCTTTGCTTTTCAAAGGAACAAAGCCGAAACCCTTGTCAAAAACAACTGCAGGGTGGATCTGTTGGCCGATGCAAATAGCTTTCCAGCAAACATGTCAGAAAAAGTTGAGTGACATCTGAGACAATGGCTCTACACAGGACAATGGCAAAGAGCGGTTTTGTCCTCGTCAATGCATAGTTGTGGGGTGTTGTAATCTGCTGTACAGGGATCAGAATTCACACACAAAGGGATGAAACATAAAGGAAAGGACGAGCCCCCTACAAACAAGAACATGGCAACTGGAGATGCTGTAACTATTTGATATTAGGCTGCACTTGCAAACCCAGACAAATGAAAGGACTTTGCACGTCTGCTGGTTTTATCAGTTACTTATCACAGACGAGGAAGCGGATGTCTATGGCGTGGCATTGGAGAACAGTTTTAAAAAAAAGTGTGTCACAAATGGAAAGTCTTTAACATTACAACATCTGTGAAAAGAAGCTTAATACTGCCCTTGCTAACATCAGTGATCTCCATTTAAAATATGAGTGAATTTTTGTATCAAGAGTTACCATCAAGTAATTTGTTACCATCAAACACTTGTAGTTTTCTAAGCACTAAGGTTCAATGAATGGCAAAAAATAAATCATCTATGATAGTTGTGTTCGTCCTCTAGTTGTTTTGAAATAAGATCAGGCATTACCATATAATGGCATTTGCCCCTAATCTATCCAGATATGTTATTTGCATAATACAATTATCCAGACTAGTACAGAAAAATACCACAACCAAACCATAATCAGCAAAAATCCTAACAAAATTACATGCAACTCTTTGGATTCTGACACAATTTTTGGAAGTATATTTTGCACAGAAAATAAGTCTTAGAGCAATTCCAAATACTGCAAGACTGTCAAGCTTAGATTTGTTTTGTTTTTCAATTGTTCAAAATCATAAAATATATGAACATCCACAAAAATTTGTTCCTTTGCCTTATCAACTTGAGTTCTTAAAAATTATAAAAAGTACAAAAATGCTTTGTTGCCATTTTCCTATTTTCAGAAAGTTAAAATAATGTAAGATATTTTCATCTCTCTTCGATAATTCTTAATTTTTTTTTAATTTGTGTCTACATGGTGTTTAGTGCCAGGATTTTAATGCCTTAGCAACTAAACTGAAAGATCTTACGCTTATTTCTTAACATCTTTTGATCAAGAAAACGCGGGTATGAGATCTGTAAAAACTGTACACAATTCTGAAGCCTGAAGATTATAAAAAAACAAACTATTGCTTCACACAAAAATTCCAAGTGAAAGAAATATAGAATCATGTCAACTAACTGTTTAAAATGCATGATTATTGAAAAGATGATGGTTCATACCAGATAGACTGTAGTCACTTCTAAAGCCAGCCATCCTGCTCCATGTATGTTCCTGCACTGCTCACCCCTGACCTGTCTGGTTTATACACCCAGACAACTCAAATTATGACACATCACTGTCAAACAAGCTTAGAGCCCTCCTGCTAAAACAAACAGGGCATTATCACCAACCCCAGGCTAATTGTTCCCCTGTGGAGGAAACAAGTGCTGTTGCAGGTAAACAGGAGAGCAGGTTTCCTTCCATAAAATACCTGCTATGTTTAAACAAACCATCGCAAGACCATCCCTACTTTTCCCACCAACACCTGCCACCCAGAAGATCTCACATTCTTCACCATTACAACCCTTAAAAATCTTTTTATGGACAGTGGAGATAAAACCTTATCAGGGAGGAATTTTTATAGGCATCTTTTTGTTGAGCTGTAAGACTGTTGGGTGCAGAATTGGAGCAGCCTTTGTACGGCTGTTTTCCATGCTGACATTGGTGTGACAGATTTGTTTGTCTCTTGGGTGGTTTGAAAATTTTTGAGACAAAGTTATCAGTCTGGGACAGAATCTGGGTGAGTGACCCAGGACAGAGACCAATGCACCTACACAAATAGACGCTCCAGGCCTGGCAAACATACTGAAAGCCAGCTTACACCTTTGCCCACATTTAAAGCAGTCGTACATTGGAAGATTACGTAAGCTGGAAAATGATCTTCATATGATACAGTAAAAATTGCTATTGTCTCCTGAGACAATGAGAGGTGTAAAATATGATGCTGTCATCAAGGGTATGACAGGAAATGTTTCACCACACTTTGAAATTAGATTCCACAGAAAAAACAAAGGATGTGGGCAGAGATAAGGCCAATATTGTCACTGCAACGAAATCTTCCTCGTTTCTCACAAATTTAATTTGTCCTATCTCTTATCTAAAGGTACTTGATAGCGCCGTGCCGCTAGTATACAAAACCCAGGAGTGTCAGAATGCTGGGACTGTTGCCGCTATTCTATATCCTGAGAGATGTATCTCCCTTCCGAAACAGCTGCTCGGTGCGTGCCTTTGTGTGGCTTTTTCCCCAGGAAATACAGGAATCCTCTTTGGGGCGCATCCATTATGAAAGCACACAGTGCCAAACATAGCTCATACTAATGGCAAGGCGATACCGTTGTGTCCAGATGGCTCAAATCCTGTCCTTTATTTCATCATCGCAGTGTTTGCCTCCCGTCTTCATCCTGTACTCTTCTTCTTAGCTGGGCAGATTGTTTGACAAAGGTAACAGGTGGTACTGCAACTTTTCAAGGGGATAAAGAGCTACCCTCCTACGAAAACAGACACCAATGCGCTGCGAACTACAAAGGTAGAGACATCTACGACGTGCGTCATCTACCTTTATGATATAAAAAGACGGATCTTCACTGGCAAATAATCTTAGAATGTCGATATCAAACAGCATATCACTTTTCCTTGATATTTCCAAGGGACTACCCCTGTATACATATCATGCTATTTGCTAAAATTTCTGGATGATAAAATTGTGAACCAATCTTGCAAGCACTAAAAAGACAAAAAATAAATGCCAGCACTTTTGATAATAAATCTTTATTGTTATGCTTAATTTCAGGCCAAAGTGCAAGGAGGAAGTATTGAGAGTACAAACTTTATGGTCTCACAGGTCATAAATTTGTCTCATGGTTAATGTTAAATCAAACAAAGTAGGTTAAGACTTGTTTGAAATGTTTGAATGTCAATTACTTTTATACAAAGTATATAAAGCAAAGACAAAATTTTATCCAAGTGACACCAAGGTAGAATTTGTTTAAATTTCCCAACCCATTAAACCAACATTTGCCACAGGTATATATCTTTTTTTCACCCACATTGAGCTACACCCATTTAGCAAACATTACGAGACTCTCTTCCATCCAAACCTCCTGAACTTGACAGTGTGATCTGAGGGTCTGGTCTGGTTGTTTTCTACTGTTCCAAACTTCCTGGGTCCTTGTCTATGTGGAATGTAAGTTATCCATAACTGAGGAAAACGATATACATGGGGGAGTATGGGAACGAGTGTGTGTGAAGATCTCTCGCTAGTGACATGAGTGGGACGGACTGTCGGCCTCGAATTCTTGAACCCACAACAGCGCGCTGATGCGTGATAAATGGTGATGCATTGCGGACTTTGGCTGTGGCAAACAGGATATTATCACCACGACCGCTTTTACCTTCAGCCAGGCAGATCGGCTGGCGTTTTTAACATAGCTTCATCTCTGCGCTGTCATTGACAGCAGACACAATACATATCACTCAAGGGCTTTCATAACAGCTTTGGGGCCTTTGTGTACTAAAACAAACAGTGTGATTACCTTTATTGACCCAAGTGGTGTCTGTTGGGGAGAGGGTCCAAGGTGCCTTTGATGGGAAGGGCGGTGACATCATTACATAGACTGTTAAGCGCCCACCTGACCGGAGAGTACACAATGAAAAAGTTTACTATCATGGGAACTTTTTCTGCCCGGCGACACAAGCATGACAAAGAGAATCATACTTCTCCTCGCCCTTTTGACTAACCAACTTAACTTTTTTGTGATTCTTTCATATACTTGTTGGGAATAAACCTGTACTAGGATTTAAAGACAAGGTCTATTATCTCTAACTCTATTCACATTCCAGGGAGATTAGGACTAAAAGTGTTTAGGACCACAACAAATCCTGCCAGCCTTTGGAGTCACAGATAACTTTGTTTCCTACACGCTTGAAGAGCGGTTGAGAGAAAGTCCTTGGTTC